ATAATCATATTTCTACAGTAAGTCATAAGTACAAAGTCATTATTTATATTCATCAGTATTTAAATCTACATAAATATTTCCTGATTTATATTTAGTTTTCTACGTAGATGTAGAAACCATGATAAGGCACTCAGAGTAAGGAAAACAATAGAAAACATAAGTTAAATGCTAAGAAATCTACTGAAAACAAATCTGCATTTTCTTAACCTTCATGTTGCAGTAAATTGGTTAGAATAATATTTGTCAAGGGGTATATCCAATAATTTTGAAATTAAATAGAAACTGTGTATAACAAATATGAATTACTGTTCTTGTATACTCTTTAAATGGGTAAGCTTATAGTGTAAAGCAAAATTTAATGATATACAATAAAATAATTTTCATGTATAGAGAAAGCCTTTTCTTCTTTAGTAACAAAATGTAGAGCTTAATGGTCTACATTTTGGGTTTATTTGAACAATATCTCATTTTAAAACATAGGAGAAAAGAACAGCTAAGAACTGACAAATTTTCCTGATGTGTAAAATACTCTTTAAAATTTAAACACCTTAAACATGCCTAAAATTTTAGAGCTTATATGTTTAAACTAAAGTTTGAATAAGAGGAGGGGTATATATTGGAAAATATATGGAAAATATCTCAAATAAATATACATAATTGTGTTTCTAAAGTAAAGCCAGTAACAACCTACTTGAATGTGATTTCTAAGTGCATACTGGTAAAATATCAAATTCATTCATAGTTACTTAGGTAATATTTTCTAAAATCACACTTTAAAACTCTTACAACTAGGAATAATATATGTATTGTGAGAGTTTAGTCTATTTGTAAAAGTTGTTTCACACAGCTTTATTGTAATAATGCCTAAAGAAAGTTTCAAAAAGACCATTCCAAAAGCAGGGTAATTATACTTTTCCCCTCTAAATGCCACAAGTACACAAGGAACTTCAGGGACTTTTTGACCAAAAGGTAAATTAAACAAAAAGTGAAAGCTATATACACAAAACTACATGTACACAGGTTCATATACACAGAAATGTACATCCTTACCATTGACCCCATACATACAGCTTGCAAGTTTTACAGCCTGTGCATAAATCTGTCTGTCCAATATCAATGATTTATTGAAGCTTCCTTAAAACTTTAGCTCTAATCTTTTATTTTTTGAGAATCCAGCTTTTAATTTATTTACTTTTTGAGTATCCAGATTTTACTTTTTTTTTTCAGATCTAACCTTTCTTATCAGAAATATTTCAGTCAATGTCCAAATGCTAATTATTTCTGTGAAGTCCAATATTCCTACAACTGAGTATCACTCAAAACCATGTTTTGGGGAAAGCTGATTTTATTGTGATATGTCAACTTCGCTTGAGTAGGAAGTGCCCAGCAGGACAGTACAGCTCCAAATGTGTCTGCAGCTGACTGACACACAGTGCACAAACTGAATGGGGAAAGAACCATTAAATAGGCCAGTGATTTAAAAAGAGAAAGAAGAATGAAGCCTTCCCCTTCTCTTTTTTGGAGAGGCAATGATTTTTGCCATTGTCATTGAATTCTTGTCTCCAGTTTCCTCAGCCTATCAGAGTAATCAGCACAGACCCCATAAAGAATCTCACCAGACTCTGCAGTGAGAGCTAAGCCTCAGCCTCTGACTGGATCCCCTGGCCCTCCAGTGGGGAGACAGCCATTTAGCATTCTTCCACTCCTGATTCTGCAGTTATCCTTTGTAGCCCTACTTAGTAAATCCTTACATATTCATAGTTGAATAAACCAGGTGGAACAAAAATGGACCATATGACCCCATTCATAAATGGACCCTAAAAGAGTTGACTATATAGAAGTTGAAAATAAAATGATTATTACCAAATACTGACGTGGAAGGAGTGACCAGGAGAGACTGATGGCTACACAGCAGCAGTTAGAAAGCAAGGAGTTATAGTGTGCTGTTTGCTGAACACTTGGACTACTATAGGTAACTACAGGTACCGTTAGCAACAGTAGGTTACTGTTTTCAAAAAACTAGAAGAAATGATTTTAAATATTTTCACAATAAAGAAATAACAAATGTTTGAGTAGATAGGTTTAACCTGACTTAAACATCACATTGTACACAAGTGTCAAAAATCATATATGTTCCTCATTGATATGTGCATTTTTGATATCAGGTATTTGTTAAAATGTAGTTAATTATTAAACTTCACTGGCAAAATTGGCAAAGATGTAAACAGGTCTACTTTTGCTTCTTAAACTCTGAAATCAGCTTAGTTAGAATAATGTATATTTGGTTGATCAGAAGCTTAAAGGTAAAAAATTTCCTGCTAGTTACTGAGCCTTTCCAGACTTCCTAGGTGAGTCCTATAAGCAAAACCCATGTTCAGGTACAGTATCTTGAAACCTATCTAACTACAAAGTATCAGCAGTATGATTCAATAGTTAATATTTTCCTTCTCAGCCATGCTGCTCATATTTGTTTTGCAAAAATTCAGTGACAGTGATGAACAGATGAGTCATAAAATAGAAATCTCAACATTCAAGGCTTATCCCAATAGTTTCCTTTAAACAAATAAAAATTCATTCTGAGTATCAGGTAAAGAATGGTCCTTTTGTTGATTTTATTATGTTTCTATTAGAAAAAGATGAATTGCTTACAAAGTTTTGCGCTAGTAGCTTCTGCAAAGCAGTAATCTTGTGGTGGGACTTTTCATCTAATTGGCAATTGGTAATATTAGTTTTATTGCATGAGGAAGTGAGTAGTTTTATGAATACTTTGATGCAAGTTTGAATGTGTTACACTCTACTGGCTTAGATGAATTAGGAAGTGTGTTTTCTTTTCCACTTTGCACTTATCTTACGTACAGCTGATCTCCCTAGTGTCCTGAGACAGGCATTCGTCCTGTTGTCCAGGGAATGGTGGGCACAATTCCTTTTGACACTGATGAAAGGTGAATACACACAGCCAGCCTACTTCAGTGAAAATTGACTCATAATTTTGTTTTACCCTGAAGAAAAATACAATAGTGAAGTTTAAGGTTGAATTTTTTAAAATTTTCCCCTTCAGGTATAACATTAGTTAACAAAAGTCTACAATCTTTATATCTTTGTCTTAAAGACAGTTAGCTCAATACTTGTTTTTAAGCAGCCATGAATCCTAATTATCATGCCTCTCTAAATGATAGCATGAAATATAAACTGAATTTTAACATTTAACTGTGATCAAAAGTTAAAATTCAAAAAGAAAGACGTTTTAAAAATTATTTTTTTCATCTTTAATGTCCACTAAGATTTTTCCTGCAAAATGAGTATGGACATTTCCTATAGATATTTAGTAGTTAAAAATACTTATTTCTCAAATAAAAAGTATGCACCAATTTTCTTTTATGAAAATCTCAGTGTTATATCTGAATTAGGATTTTCAAGATTATTTCAGTGTCCTAAAAATAGGAAGAAAATCACTTGACATACGGAGTCTCACCAACTGCTTCAGTGCAAATATCTTACCTTTAAATGCAGTTAAAAAAAGAACATAATATGAAAAGTTAATGCTGTTATCTAAAACATTTTCATTTTCTAGTAACACCTAAAGATCTACTAGTCATTAACTACACAATTTACTTTCAGTTTGTTAATATAAATAGCCTACAGAATTTCTTCAAATATGTTCTACGTGTATTTTAACTTCTAATATGACAGGTAATAAAGTTATTTTATTTATACAACTCATCATTCCATGTTTTATTTTTGACTTGCATTTTATAATTTTAATTTATCTTCCTTCAATGATGCCCTTTGCTTTTCATACTCATATATAAAGATCTCAATTATAAGGAGTTTCTATTAGATATTTTTATAGTAGTAGAACAGTGGATTGATATTTTCAGAAATATACTAAAGTGGCTGGGTTAGAAGTAATAGTCCAAAATAATATAATCAAGTTTAGATTTTACTTCTTTTAAATGCAACAAACAGTATTTTAAGTAAATAAATCTTGAGTGCCTATTTGCACACCACTGTGCCAGATAAAAGGTGGCAAAAGACAAAATACAGCATCCCTTAAAGTGGCTTATAGTCTCAACAACATTCACACAAGAGTCACTTTAAAAGGACACAGTGTATAAATAAATGTAAAAATACACAGGTAGGCTAAATCTGATGACATATTCCAATTTAATCAAAGAAACAAATTTATCCTAATTCTAAAAGAGGGCTTTATTAAGAAGAAACAAGTATTTGTTCTGGATCACATCAGGGACTTCGTTCTTTGATTCAGTGCCGCAAGCTGAAGCAAAGAGTGAAACAGATTAAGAGGTACAATCTGAGAGCATTAATATTCTCAGATAAATCAAAGTAAAGAATAGGTGTTGGGAAGGAGGTTTTGACTTTGGAGCAAATCACAATCTAAGGAGAACAAACAAAGGGGTTTCAGCGCCTACTGAGATGGAGACTTTGTAATATAATCTCAGGGAAAGGCAACGTCCAGAATGGAAGTGCACTGGAAGAGGACACGGTGATGCTTTTCTACCTTAGGTCTAAGAAAAAAGAAAAGACTGTTTCAAAAGTTGGCCGACTAATTCATAGGAGAAAAGGACAAATATTATTAGGTAATTCTAACTTGATTCTAATACTGAAATCTCATGACATTCATCTGTAGCTCTGGAGGTAAAAGTTAATGACAGAAAATGTTTCCTTTTTATATCATCTTCCTATATCTTTGGAGTTACTAAATCACGAAATAGAGACCCCACTCTCCTAATTCCATGACCTAATACAGGAGACAACTAAACCTTTCCTGACTGATGATACTTAGTGTCCTTCCTGCAAAGCCTGCCAAATAATGTTGGTAATTGAATTTTTCTCTCAATCTGAGCATTCATCATTCTTTTCTGTCTTGCTTTTGATGTCTGTTGGTCTTGGACCATTTCCTATGCCTCCATTCTAGCAATGAAGTGTTCAGTCCCACTTTTCTTCAAATAGGCCATGGCATAGTGTCTGAACGTTGATACCTGATGATAAACTTCATTAGCACTAGCTGCTTATCTTAAGCTGATTCAGTTTCAATGTTGTTACACTGCACCAGTCCTCTGCCTGGTCTAACTGCACGGACAATACATAGAATGCACAGTACTCAGTGGATAAGAAACCACCTGAAAGACTGACTCTCTTTTGCTAATGCCTAGTGTTTTAAAGACCCCACTGTTGGTTTTTATTGTTGTTTCTTTTGCTTTTTTGTATCATCCAGTTGCACAAATTCTTTCATCATCTAACATATTTGGCTTTAATACAGCCTTTACCTATGTAAAATAAGTGTATCTGTTCCAAAGTGAGTGACTTGTTAAAGGTTCTAAAAATTATCAGAAGTTGAATTCATTAGAAAACATTATAAGGAGCCAGGGATTTAGCTCAGTGGCACTGTACCTGCCTCACAAGTGCAAGGTCTTGAGTTTGATTCCTGATACCAACAATAAAAAAATCATAAAAATAACTTGGAACTTGTGTTAGGTGTGAAAAAATAGATACTGCTTAATTTACTAAAAGAAAAAGATAAAGCAAACGTAAGAATGAGGGAGTAACTTGAAGAGAATGGTGAGGAGACAACTAGCTATACGTCCTGTTTGGAACAGAATAAGAACAAACACCACTGAATTGGTAAACTACACAATACTTAAAAGCTCACTGAGTACTGAAATACAGAGCTTCTATTTTGCTCTTTCATCTAGGCTTTTGGAATTTACTACATTTTCCTGTCATCTGTGATATTTCACTACCTAGAAAACTTCACATTAAGAGGAGTGTGATCGCTCTGTATACCCTTTACTTTATATCATAATTAAGATCATTAAGAAGTCTAACATTTAGTTGCCTATGTAAAAGTTTGACTAGCAAATATAACTTGTTAATTCTAAGTGTTTTGTTAGGTATCAATTATATCACAGCACATATGGCAATAACATGTAGAGAGCTACCTTTTCTTGCCAATTAATGACTTGAGTGCTTAGACAAAAATAAAAATGTTCATAAATGGCTCTATTCAACTGTTTTTCCTCATTTTTTTCATACGTCTCTTACAGTAATTGCAATAGTTTCCTTTCCATTCACACATTTGTCAGGATAATTCTCACCTCCACGTGTTTGAACATTCTGTTTTCCTAGTTCACACTTTTCTTCTTCTGCTCTCTGTACAGTTTTTATTTGTTTTCCTCATACACTTTCCTGTTTTGGTCTCATGTTTCTCGGTGGTGCAGCATGTGCTCATTGCTCCTTTGTAGATGTGCATCAGTCCCTATTACATCTGCATTATTCTATTACCTCATCTAAAATATTATTACTTAGAGAAAAGAAAAATGACCTAATTTTCCCATGGTGCACTGAGGTTTTAAAAAAAGCACCGAAATTTGTAAATAGAATTTCAAACACTAAACTAAGTTTTAATGATCATATAAAATATCTATATCAATATTTACTTATATTTATAAACCTGTGTGACTATATATCTACTGACCTTAAAATATGTGAGAAAAACTATTTTTTTATAATGACTATGATATTCACAGTACACGATGTGGCCTACCATTGAAATAAGTAAATATTTCTATAAATGGAAAATTTATGAATCATCTCTTATGCATTGAGTATGCTTTCAATTTGTCAATCTAATATCTTCTCCTTAACATATTATTTATTAAAACTCTGAAAATTGAAAATTTTTCTTTTAATTTTTGCAAGAAAATAACATACTACTCATACACATGGGTTTTCATTGTATGTTAACTTCTGAATTTAAGTAAAATGGTCTAAAATAATTGAATTATAGGAAAGTAAGTTTAAATGTTATACAGGACATAACAGTTAAACATTACTGACAATTCTTAGGAATTTTTCTTCTGCACCCCCCCCCGGTACTAAGGATTGAACTTGAGATCTTCAACTTATGAAGCACATAGTGGAATCACTGAGCTCAATCCCTGCCTCAGCAGCATTCTTTAATAATAAATTCTACATTGCCAAAATTATTGTAAGAATTGATGCACATTAATAGAACAGAGTTCAGAAATTAAACTTTATATACGGTCAATTGAAATTTTACAAATGATCAAGATAATCCAATAAGGGAAGTTTGTTTTTCAACAAGTAAGGATAGAATAATTGGATATCCACGTTGAAAAACCGAAATCAAAGTCCTAACAGAGAACAGCTCAAAATGTACTGAGGAATAAATATAAGAACTAAAACTATGAGAAGAAAACACAAAATAAAAAGGAAGAAACATAGAAATAAATATCTATGACTTTGATTGAATGACATTTTATACATGACATGACAAACCTGACAAGAAAAAAAGATAAATTCAATTTTCCCAAGATTAAAAAGATACGTGCTTCAAAGGATATCATTTAGATAGCAAAAAAATAAATAAATAAACACAAAAAACAAAAACAAAAACCCCAAATAATGGGAAAATTAATTTTCAAATTATATATGTGCTAAAATATTTGCATCAAGAAGGTATAAAGAATGCTTACAATGAAGAAACAAAATATTATAAAATGATCAAAGGATTTGAATATGAATCTCCAAAGAAGATATAAGAATGGTTAATACTTGAAAAGTTCAGAATCATTAGTCACTTATGAAATGTAAATCAAAATCACAATGATACATTACATTACTCACATTAGAATGGATGTAATAAAAGAATCTCACGCACTGACGGTGTAATTGTAACCTGGTGCAGCCTCTGCAGACAGTATTCTGACATATCCTCAGAGATAAATCTAGAATTACCGTATTATCTAATAATTCCATTCCAAGGAAACAAAAAACATATGCTACATGGAAATTTGCACATGGAAGTTTAGAGCAACATTATTAATAGGCAGATATTGTAAATAAGTTCAAATAATGAATGGATAAAGCAAATGTAGCATATTTATAAGAGGTATGAATATTCAGTAATAAAACACAGTACTGATACACATTACAAAATGGATGACTTTGAAAACACTATGCTAAAGAAAGAAGCCAAATCCAAAAGACCACATATTTTGTTATAAAATCATATTAAATGATAATAATAGACAAATTTGTAAATATTGAAAGTAGACAGTTCCAGGGACAGTAAGAGTATCACTGATGAATATGAGGCTTTTTCTGGAATTATAAAAATATTTGGGTATCAACTAATGGTGATGGCTTCACAAATTTATTAATACACTAAAAACTACTACGCTATTCACTTTAAAATGGTATATTTTGTGATATGTCTGTATAGCTTTATAGAATTGCTTTTAAAGCTGCATAATCAACAATACAGCTTAAGTATGTGAAACTTATGGAGTATCAAAAATAAGAGATACCAAAATAATGAAAATATTAGAAAATAATTAAAAATTAGGAAAAATAATAGAAAGATATTGTAGAGAGTCACTAAAAACTTTCAGGTTAATCCAGGATTTAACTTTTCAAAAACTGTAAGATTCATTAATATTCTTCATAATAATTCATTAAACAAAAACTCAAATTGACATTTATTTTACCAAACTTCATTTCACCATTTGCTAAAACTGAAGAAAATAACTAAAATGAAGAAAACATATTTATCATTAATTATTAATTACACTTCTATTACTTTCATTTTAAGTTAGTAGGATTTTTGTAGATTTTTTTCTTTTTGAATTCAGATATAAATGATTTAGTATCATCTACAGCGTCATAATGAGTCACGGTTCAAGCAAGATTATTTAGAACCAAAAACCTACAATTACAGGGCCGGGGATTTAGCTCACTGGCACCACACCTGCCTTGCAAGTACAAGGTTCCAAGTTTGATCTCCAGTATCACAAAACAAAGAAACAACACAAAACATGGAAAAACCTAAAATTACATTTAAAAGTAAAACTGAGATAAAAATCCTTTTAGAATTTACCTGCAATACAAGAGCATAATTAGTAGCTCAAATTTCCCAAGATTACAGATAAGTTAGGGCTACAATTCTCAAGAAATAGTGTGCAATATAAAGATTACTAATGTTAATGGTAGGAAGGAGAAGCAACCAAGGGGTAGTATTAAAAGTTTTAAATGTTATAAAATCACAAAATAAATCAAATTTGGGTTGTTTTGTATTTAAAATATACTATAAAAGTAAGATGTGTGTTACCAGGTAAAAAGAAATCTACACTACAATTTGTAAGAAAAAACAAAGACTAGAAACATCCTCAACTAGCATTATAAAATAAAAATCTGGAAAAATTCACAAGTTTAAAAAAATGGCTAAGGGCCGGGGATTTAGCTCAGTGGTTTGATGGCCTGCCTTGTAAGCACAAGGACCCGAATTCAATTCCCGGTACCAAATTAAAAAAAAAAAAAAAAAAAAAA